CCAGCAGCTCCCCATTTCGGTGGAACATGGGAGCGAGAGATAAGATCAGTTAAATTTGCTTTGTATACAGTTACAGGAGCTCAGCCGGTCTCTGAAGAAGTACTCTGTACTGTCTTGCTGGAAGTCAAGGCAATGCTGAACACAAAGCCGCTAGGATATACCTCATCCAATATTGCAGATCTGGATGTAATCACTCCGAACATCCTCTTGATGTGGCGGCTGAATGGTGCTTTACCCCAGTGGGTATACAACAAATGCGAAGGCCTGAGCACGAGAAGATGGAGGCACTGTCAGGTTTTGGCTGACCACTTCTGGACTAGGTTCATAAGGTACTACCTGCCAACCTTACAGCACCGGCAAAAGTGGCATACCACCACAGTGGATATTGCAGTCGACTCTGTTGTTCTGTTGATGGACCCGCAACTTCCTAGGACTCTTTGGCCAATTGGCAAAGTAACTAAAGTACATCAGAACCCTGAGTAAGGTCAGCAGATGTCCAGATTAAAGACAAAATCTACACCAGACCAGTTGCCTGCCTCATTCTCCTCCCAGCTATCCCAGAATCGGATGAGGAAATGGATTCTGCCGTAGGGCCTACAGAAGAGGCTGATAAGTGAGCCTTTCCCAGGGACAAATTGTACACAATTTGGGGGCGCCTGTGCAAAAGGCTCAATGCAGACGCACAAAAGCGCTCTTTTCTTTATCGCGGGAACTTTTATTTTGGCAGAATGCAGTGCGTTCTGTGGAGTGCATCACAGCCCACTCGCAATCGCAATCTAGTATTGCATCAGCCATCATTGGTCCTCAGCGGGAATGAACCATGCAATTCCGTGACAAATGGCAATCATACGATTATCTTTATGGTCCTTTGAATGTTTAAGTTTGTGTGCATCCAGAGAAAACCACACCCACATACATGAGTGTATGCTGACCCGTCAAAGGACATAAGGTTCAAGATGACAGTGCTCTGCATCAGTATTAATGCTCATCTATAATATGTGCACAATCTGAGAACTGGTTAATGCACTTCGCTATAACCTGGCTACCCCCCTCTGCATATGCCTGTAACAATAAATCTGTTGAACTCGATTCCTTCTCCGGCTTTGGTGTTCTAACTGGCACACACGGATCAACTCCACCTACTTAGGAATAGCTAGCACCTTACAGTCCTTAGCCCCTCAGCTACATTTGATGCAGAGCAGTATCATCTTGAACCTTATGTCCTTTGACAGGTCAGCATACACTCATGTATGTGGGTGTGGTATCGCACGTACATCTGCACTTTGTTGTTTATAATGAGAGAATTCGCGAGTCAGAATTCAGTCAGCACGCGCTGAACAACAGAACTCCGCTGTTTCAGTGATGACTCATCTATAATATGTGCACAATCTGAGAACTGGTTAATGCACTTCGCTATAACCTGGCTCCCCCTCTGCATGTGCCTGTAAAAATAAATCTGTTGAACTCGATTCCTTCTCCGGCTTTGGTGTTCTAACCAGCACACATGGATCAACTCCACCTACTTAGGAATTGCTAGCACCTTACAGTCCTTAGCCCCTCAGCCTTATGTTCCCTGAATATTATGTTCCCTAGACCCTAACTCTGCTAGAAGTGTTGACTATCAATCCACAAAAGCAATATATGCTGTACATTTAGTATTTATACATTATTTAAAAAAAAAAAAAAAACTATTTTATATTTAATATAATTAATTATGACTTCACATTGAATGTCGACTCCGTCATTGGCCCGTCACCACCGTCAGACAGAAAATCACCACTTATGGTGGTGACATCTGAAGCTGATCAAATATTGACAAATTTGGCATTTCTTTCACAAAACAAATGGAGTTCATGTAGTAGCCATTTTGTTTTCTCTGTTGATGCTATATGCTAACAGAATCTGTTTCGGGAGAATAAAATTATCTAACCATTTCAAGTAATTTCCTCAGAAATTGGAAGATGTTGACATAATGGTTGTGACAAAGGAAATATTAACATTAGGATTAAAAAAATTCTAAAACTATAAAACTTACCAGAATCTGTCTGACACTGATGTACTCTGCAGAGGTGGAATGTGGCAAGGGGGTCCGTTAGAGTGACAGCTGCCCCTGATATTCCCTGATTTTTTAAACATTATAATAAATGTCTGATAGTGTTGAAAAAAAGTGGGGACACAACTTTGAAACCTTATGAAACACGCATGTGTCCTTGAAAAACAACCTTGTTTTTATATGCGATATTAAGTGTTTTTTCATCATTAAAAAACATTTATTTATATATATATATATATATATATATATATATATATATATATATATATACACACATACACAGTGGTCAGAATTGTTGGTAGCCTTGGTAAATATGATCAAAGAAGGTTATGAAAATAAATCCTTTTGATCTTTTATTAAAAAAAATCACAAAAATCTCAAAAAATTTGATTGGAGAATAAGAATTTAAAATGGGGGGGGGGAGATATCATTATGAAATAAATGTTTTTCTCTAATACACATTGGACACAATTAACGGTACCCTTTTATTCAATACTTTTTGAAACCTACATTTGCCAAAATAGTTTTGGAGTTTTCTCCTAAAATGCCTGATGAGGTTAGAGAACACCTGACAAGAGATCAGAGACAATTCCTTTGTCCAGAATCACTTCAGATTCCCAGCTCCATGATGGTGCTTCCCCTCTTCAGTTCACCACACTCATTTTCTATAAGGTGTAGGTCAGGAAACTGGAATGGCCATAGCAGAAGCTTGGTTTTGTGCCCAGTGACCCATTTTTGTGTTGTTTTTAAGGTTTGTTTTTAGATTATTGTTCGGTTGGAAGATCCAAACATGGCCCATTATAAGATTTCTAACAGAGTCAGTCACTTTTAAAAAATTTTTATCTGTTGGTATTTGATAGAATCAATGATGCCATGTGTCTAAACAAGATGTCCAGGCAAGCAGAAATATAGGCCCACAACATAAAAAAATACAGCAGTATATATCATTGTAGACATGGGGTACTTTTTATCTGTGTTCACCAAACCCAACTTGACGGTTTGCTGCTAAAAAGCTTGTTTTTTAGTTACATCTGACCATAGAAGCCAGTCCCGTTTGAAGTTCCAGTCGTGTCTGACAACTGAATATGCTGGAGATTTTTTATTTTTTTTCTTGATTTTTTTATTGAAGCCCTCCCAAATAACATGTGGTGATGAAGGTGATGTTTGATAAATTTCTTTTTTTAAAGGTTTTCTGACCCCGAAACTCAACCTTTTTCTGCAATTCTCCAGCTCAGGGGTTCTCAAACCTCTCCATGAAGTACCCCCAGCACTGCACATTTTGTATGTCTCCCTATATCTGACACACCCACTTCAGGTCTTGCAGTCTCCACTAATGAGCTGATGAGTTGAATCAGGTGTGATAGATGAGGTAGACATTCAAAATGTGCAGGGCTGGGAGTACTCCAGGACAGGTTTGAGAACCACTGCTCCAGTTGTGATCCTTGAAGAATCTTTGGCCACTCAAACTCTCCTTCTCACCGTGCATTAGGACGATATAGACACATGTCCTCTTCCAGGCAGATTCATAAAATTTTCTGTTGATTGGAAAAACTCTCCTTCTCACCGTGCATTAGGACGATATAGACACATGTCCTCTTCCAGGCAGATTCATAAAATTTTCTGTTGATTGGAACTTTTTAATTATTGCTCTGATGGTGGAAATGGGAATTTTCACTGCTCTAGCTCTTTTCTTAAAGCCACTTTCTAATTTGTGAAGCTCAATTATCTTTTGCTGCACATCAGAAATATATTCTTTGTTTTTTCTCATTGTGATGGGTGATTAATTTGGCCTTTGTTTTCCCTCCTATTTATATTTCTGTGAAACAGGAAGCCATGGCTGGATAATTTCATGTTCATAATCACAGTCATGTTCATAATGGTGTGCTCAAAATTGTGAATATGAATGGGAATTTATTTCAGATATATTTTACTCATAAGAATTTCTAGGGGTACCAGTAATTGTGTCCAACGTGTATTTGAGAAAAAAAAAATTCATAATGATATTTCCCCCCCATTTTAAATTCTTATTCTCCAATGAAAAGTTAGATTTTTGTAAATAAAAGATCAAAAGGATTAACAATGCTGATTAATTTTCACAGCCTTCTTTGATCATATTTACCAAGGGTACTAACAATTCTGACCACGTGTGTAGATTTTTTGCTTGTAGATATTACTACACTTCAAGTGAAGTTAACCTGTGGCAAATTCAATTGAATGGGTATGATTTGGAAAGGCACACACGTCTTAATAGAAGGTCTAACAGCTGATAATGCATATCAGAGCAAATACCAAGCCCTGAGGTCAAAAGAACTGCCATTAGAGCTCAGAAACAGGTTTGCGTCAAGCCACACATCTGTTGAAGAGTTCAGAAAAAAATTCTGCTTCATTGAAGGGTCACAGAAGCCAATCAAATATTTCTGGAGAAACCTGAAAATGTGCATCTGCCCCCATCCAACCTGACAGAGCTTGAGAGGTGAACAGGTGAGGTGAAGAATGGCAGATAATTGCAAAATGCTGATGAGTAAAGCTTGTCGCATCAAACAAAAAAAGACTTGAGGCAGTTAAGGTGCTTCAGCTAAATATTTAGTTAGTGTATATATATATATATATATATATATATATACATATACACACATATATATATATATATATATATATATATATACACATATGTGTGTATATATATATATATTTACATATATGTGTGTGTGTGTGTCAGAGTATATTTAGCATGAACCTTGTAATCATTTATGGTGATATGGGGAACTTTTAATAAATTTTTAGTTTATGGCAGTAAGAATTCTCAGAATGGTAAACTGAAATATATGATCTGGGTTTCACATCAGAGATTACAATGGAGTCCTTGCAAGTTATTTTCTGCATACCTTAGTAATGAACCTATTTTATTTTTTTCCCCTCACACTTGCTCTTGCTTTCCACTGCTCAGATCTTCTATTATTCAACTGATATCTTCAAAAAGGCTGGGGTGGAAAGTCCAGTGTATGCCACCATAGGTGCTGGAGCTGTCAACTGTGCTTTTACCATAGTCTCGGTACGTAAAAAAAAAAAATCTCATGAATCTTTAAATAGGAACTAACAAGATATGGCAAATTAGTCTCAATTGAGACTTAAAGGGATAGTTCACCCAAAAATGAAAATTTGATGTTTATCTGCTTACCCCCGGGCATCCAAGATGTAGGTGACTTTGTTTCTTCAGTAGAACACAAACGGAGATTTTGAACTCCAGCCGTTGCAGTCTATCAGTCGTATAATGCATGGCAATGGTAACAAAATCTATGAGAGTAAAAAAAACATGCACAGACAAATCCAAATTAAACCCTGTGACTCGTGACGACACATTGATGTCCTAAAACACGAAACGATCGGTTTGTGAGAGAAACCGAACAGTATTTATATAATATTTTACCTCTAATACACCACTATGTCCAACTGTCTTTGGGCGCGTGCACGGCATCCGGTGCGTGAGGTGTGTACGCACTCTGGCGTAGTTTACGTTAATGGGTGTGTTGATATCCAGTCGAAGAGCAATCAACCATAACTTCAGGCAAGCAGGCTCAGAAGTTGGGAATACGTGGAAAGTCACCACTCCCGAATGAGTTCGCACGAGAGAAAGTAATCTTTTAGTTTTAAGTCGATTTGAACAATCCGAATAAGCGTAAGTAAGTACCATTTTGATTAGCCGTCGTACCTACAATGACTGTGCACTGTGTAAACAATGAGTGACGTATACGTGCGAGATATCACTTCCGGATATCTCGCACGTATACGCTTGCGAAATCACTTCCGGATATCTCGCACGTATACGCTTGCGAAAACTACACCAGAGCACGTACACACCTCACGCACCGGATTCCTGCGTGCGCTCAAAGCAGTTGGACATAGTGGTGTATTAGAGGTAAAATATGATATAAATACTGTTCGGTTTCTCGCACAAGCCGATCGTTTCGTGTCTTAGGACATCAATGTGTCGTCATGAGCCGCAGGGTTTAATTTGGATTTGTCTGTGCATGTTTTTTTTACTCTCATAGATTTTGTTACCATTGCCATGCATTATACGACTGATAGACTGCAACGGCTGGAGTTCAAAATCTCTGTTTGTGTTCTACTGAAGAAACAAAGTCACCTACATCTTGGATGCCATGGGGGTAAGCAGATAAGCATCAAATTTAAATTTTTGGGTGAACTATCCCTTTAAGAGTTTCCCATAACATTGGTAGATCAAAATAGAACAGATACTGTTGAGCAGATCTCAGTGCTTTTTCAAAAGCGTGGGCAGAGCAGTCATGAGAAGATAGTCAAATTCAATAAAAACAATTAAAAAAGTAAACAACTTAAATGTAGCACTGCAAAAAAGTTTTTTTTTGTCTTAATATTTGCAAGAAATTCAATTTTTGTAAATAATTAATTAAAAATCAAACCATTTAAACTACGTTATTAGCATAAACCAAGTCAAACTACAAACTTTATATGTCTATGACTCACTTGTCCAATCAACAGCTTTTCCTGGTTGAGCGTATGGGCCGCCGGACACTCCACATGCTTGGACTTGCTGGAATGTGTATCTGTGCCATCATCATGACAATTGCCCTCACATTACTGGTCAGTCCCACAACAATTTAATATTTTTTTTCTTTATAGATTCACCATGATGTTATAAAGAGTTACTGAAAAAATACACATAATAAAATAAGAGAAAATCAGTTTCTACACTACAGACTACTTGAGAAATTATAATGCAGAAGCTGGTTGTAAAATTAGCATGTTCCTTGTCAGTGAATGCTGTCTGAGTTAATCTTACTTGTGTTGTCTTTGTTCACAGGAGACTGTGCCATCAATGAGCTACCTTAGCATGATGGCCATTTTTGGTTTTGTTGGCTTCTTTGAAGTGGGGCCAGGACCTATCCCTTGGTTCTTTGTGGCTGAACTCTTCTCACAAGGTCCCAGACCAGCAGCCATGGCAGTAGCAGGCTGCTCCAACTGGACTGCCAACTTCCTCATTGGCATGGGCTTCCAGTATGTTGCTGTAAGTGTACAGGAAACAACTTTTTTCACTAGCAATGGTTTACTTACCTACTTATGGCATCAAAACGTGCTATAAATCCATTACATTCAATCTCTCCTTACTGCAGAACCTGTGTGGTCCATACGTTTTTCTCATCTTCGCTTTGCTCCTCCTTTTCTTTCTGGTCTTCACCTTCTTCCGTGTTCCTGAAACGCGAGGCAAAACTTTTGACCAGATCTCAGCCACCTTCCACCGTCATCCACAAAACATGATGGACATGGACCTGGACATGGATCAGGGGAAGCACAGTACAGAACTGGACTACCTAGGTTCTGATGGGACAGAGAACTGAGGCTTGAGAGCAAGAGAGATGGTGAAAGGGGGGCCAGAATGACCACAACTGGCCGTTCTTGAGGCTAGGAGAGAAAAATGGGATGGATACCAAAAACAAAACATTACTACTCAGAAGTATGGTGACGCATTGCTGCCACACACATATTTTTTCCACTCAATTATGTCGTAATAACGAGATATGTCATGTCGTTTTAATGACATCTTTTCTCGTTAAAACGAGATGTTTTCTCGTTAAAGTGACATCTTTTCTTATAAAAACGAGATATGTCGTTAATATGACAATTATCTCGTTAAAACTACATATTTTCTCGTAATAACGAGAGTTAAAACACATTGTTTCTTGTAAAAACGAGTTAGGCCTATGTTGTAAAAACGACAATTATCTCGTTAAAACGTCATCTTTTCTCGTTAAAACAACATTTTTTTCTCATAACTACATGTCATAAAAACAATGTTTTCCGTTATTATAAATATATATGTGAGCGAGCTAAGCTAGCCTACTGTCCGCGCTGCTGTCGCCACAGTCTGACATAAGGATCTGCACGCTGCTGAAATTATTGAAATACACTGTTTTAAATGTATTTTAAAGTAATGGTTTTAATTGTAGCGGCATGTTTATTAGGATTAATCTCCAATCTGTCTACAATATATTTGCTATCCAATAACTGCACTCAGACCCATGACTCGTTTAGGCTATGATCAGATCAAAACGGTTATTTTTGAATAATCGACTCTGGGCTTAATATTTCTTTATTTGAATGACTGAAGTTTGATTTAACAACAAATCGAAATACGAACAAAAAGAAATAGAGATTTTCTAATAGGCTAATAATAATAATAATAATAATAGTAGCCTAATAATTATTATTATTATTATTATTCGCCTATTAGAAAATCTCTTTATTTCTTTTTGTTCGTATTTCGATTTGTTGTTAAATCAAAC